GAAGATGACCCCACTGTCATAGACATGACCCCATCAATCTTTTTTTCTAGCTTTGTCCCTGGTCGCCACAGCAAAGCCATCGAGCTCGCCAACCCAACGGACAAGCGCCCACCGATGTCGGCCCTTCCAACCCGCCCATGACAGCCCCCCGCGTCGGGAGCAAGCCACATCCATGGTTGACATCTTCAGGCCAAGGAGCTACCGACTAGGAGGGGAGGCCCTTGGTCGACGGTGGGATGGGCTCTCCCGGGCCGCCCGTCGGGGGAGTGACAAGGGAGACTGGGGGAGGGGGTCTTGGAGCAGTCTAAGAATCGCCTAGAACTAGCCCGAAGCAAGAGGGCACTGCCATGAATCTTTTGTAGTTACGGAGCTGCCGAGCATTTTCTAGGAGATCTAATGGTCCTTTATCTTCGGTAATTTATATTTCCTCCGTCTTAAAATAAGTGTCTCAACTTTAAACTAACTTTAATACAAAATTAAATTAAAGTTAAGACACTTATTTTGTGATAGAGGGAGTATCTACGTGGGACCACTTGGTGAAAACAAGTTGGGGTTGTTTCGTTGGTGACCTTCATATGCATGTCTGGCTACGTTGGAGCAGTTTCTGCCAAACATAGTTTGAGAGCAAGTTGTTTGGTTCGGGCCTGCATGGGAACCTCATAAAATACTCCATATTTCGTAGGGTAACCATATTGTAACAGTTCGGCGAATAAATTGACGATTGCGAAGGTGACTATGCGTGCGCTTTATCCTGGATTTCCATTTCGTAGACTTAGGTGACAGCTCCGGCTAATTACATGCCGGATGTGCTCGAGCCAGGTGAGGGGAAAGGAGGCTTAGGGTCACGGCAACCGACAAATCATCATATTTCACTCCCTCCGGGCAATTATCTATCAGGTAGCAACGAAGTAGCTAGCCGCTCTGTGCTAGGTGCATGCCTTAGACCACCTATCGGTGTTGCTTTCCTTAGCCATACTGGGGATGGTCTAAGAGCACTCTGTACTCCATTCATTCATTGTACGGACTAGTTAACATACCAATCCAACCCATGCCACAATTAATCACATACAACCCGTCTCAATCCAACCTGCACGCATTCCATATGTAACCTGCGTTGTTGCTGTGCCACTTAGGTAGTGGCTCCTCTTGGGTTGAACAGTAACCAAACGAGTTCCTGTGAGTCCCAAATCATGTTGCAGGACGGGCCGTATGGCATGAGGACACGAACCAAACTAGCCCTAATCCCTGATGCCTCTCAAGCCAACCCAACTCAATAGATCACTAATTCTTGAATATACGGTCACTAGAGGTATATCACTAAGAGACTTGGAATGAACTATATTCATCCTTTATGAATTGCTTATGTGAAGGTGCTTCGCAGCTCACCGTGATGTATATATATCAGATTGTGCAGCTGTAGTTATCTCCAACCCTAGCCCATGTGCAACTTCTAGCCCGTTCGATTCGCTATCTTGCATTTTTATGGTAGATTTATATCTTTACTATGTCATATGCTCACATGTTTTTGATATGATTGTGCACGTATGGACCATGGACAGTGTTATTAATGGTGTGCACTACCTACCTCTCGGTTCTGGTCCTAGTTACAACGTAGACTACATACTGGTTCTGCATGAGGTTTTAGAAGTGAACTCAAATATCTCAATTGGCTTAGAACCTGTGCAAAATGTACAAAAGATCATCCCTCAACTTACATGTGTATTTCTTGCCTTGTAGAAAATAATAATAGAATGAATGTAATTATACTACTCCCTCCATCCCTTAATATAAGAGCGTTTTTGACACTAGTGGGAGTACAATACATGTTGTTCAACCATCTGACATTAACTTATGTATGGTGAGTCAACTAACATGATTTTCTCTGGCACATAGAAAATTCTTTGATTTTGCCAAATAATTCTTGTATACTAGAAAAAAATCAAGGGTCACAATCATGTCTGAAAATGTCTAAGACTCCCTCTGGGCCAGGTCCAAGCCATACATCAGTTTGTCCTTGTGATTTCCCAAAGCTAGCCACGAAGTGATTAGCATTATTTTGGCATCGACGAATATGAGTAATACAAGAACTACATTCCTCCAAACTTCCTTTAATTTCTTTGATCTGAAAATATATTTTATAATTGAGATATCAAATTCAACTACCTTATGTTACCTCTAACATAGGGGAACATACATCCACTTGTTTATAAGTCGAGAGTTATTCTAAGCTTCATTCTTAGCATCAATAGTTGGATGGATAAAGAGAGAACAAAAAGAGGGCTAGGGCATCCTTATAGTCTTAAACACTAATGGCAAAGTCAGACTCCTGTGCTAGGTGGGATTTTAACCACTCAAGTGATGGTTAAATCCGTCATAATTCCATCAATCCTAGATGGATAACCATCCAGTAGAATGATAGAAAAGGATCCAAACCATTCTATCTCTACTGGAGTACTGAGATTTGATCGTGCCCATGCAATACACTAGTAAATTTGAACTAGGCAATGTAAGCATGAAAACATTTTCCTTGCCATTTATGTTTAGGTTTGCTCTACAAGCCCCTCCACATGTACTCTTTTATCACATAATTTGATCCACAATATAAAATGATCTCCTCCCTACCAGATTTCTCAAAGTAAAACCAAGCATGTCACATGACCAAACACATACGTCTCTTAATTCACACAATAAATTGTTGCCAGGCGGGATATACATTCTCGGTCACCTCTCCTTGAAAGCAATGAACACCAAGCCTGTCACAGCGCCAGATCAAAGAAGTCCTCATGTTGCTCGTGTATTTTTTTTCTTCTAGGATACAATGTTGACTAGTCGGCGGAGGTAAAAAGCGACCACACGAACTGGACAAGACAGGCATCTCCTCCATTTGTCACTCTAGTGCTACTCATTGTAGTTTAATTTAATCTCTTAGCTCCTAGGAAACTATTACTGTCAACTGGAAGCATGGTGCTGTAAAAAGGATAGAGCATGAACTAATCATTCATGAATTAGTAGATTACCTGCTAATGTCATCATCAGCTCTTAATTTGGACTTTTGCCACACAAATATGGCAATGTAGTAAGTCAATTCAAAGGGAATTATAGTAGGCATGTGACACTTTGAAAATTTAAGTGCGAACAAAACTAAACCCTGTTATGGGATCGAGTGAGTAATAAATTACTTAGATACATAAAGTTGGCAGTTCGCTATTGACAAATGTTGGACCTCCCCTGCCCTATAAATAGACCCATCTGCACTCAAATGCTATATATGTGCAATAACCGACCATTGCATAGAAACCTTAACCTTTAGTGGCCATCATATTGGAAGTATCTATGTGCAATGGTGTAGTCTGCTCCAACATACACAGTTGAAACCATGATGCTAAGTGGAAACCTAGAACTACAAAGTTCAGGGCGTGCTGAATCTGGTTGTGCTGGTCGTAGTGTGTGAGAAATTAGAATCATTAGGCTTATGTTTGTTCTAAGAGGCTTAACTGAAGATCTGTGGCACCTGTGATTCATTGATCATTGCTACAGGAACTATATCTGAACCAGCATAGTAAGGTCACCTGATGGTCATTTTATTTTATTGTTCCAAAATTGCTTCATCTAAATCAGATAAGGTATAAGTCAGTTTACCTTAAGCATGTGTAACTTGCAAACTGAAAGGTGAAATGGTCAATTTCGGCACCAGCCTAGCTTGATGATTTCCTGGAACCTAGCTCTTTTGCTGGAACAGGAATATCTGCTTGCTTACAGGAGTATAGTAACTATTTATCCTATATACCTAAATAGTTGATCTCCACTACATCTAATTCTCTTAACATGCAGCCTCCCACCTCACAAAGTTATGGCATACATATCTATGACATCAAAATTAATCCTTGCAATTATCCACATCATACTTCTTAGACAAATCCATGTCATTAGCCGATCTTCTCATGCATGTGTTGTGCACAATTGATTGGAATTGGAGCTACAAAATGACCTTTGGGATTCGGATTGAGAAGTGAAAATAGGAAGTGGAAAAGGCTTACATGCATAGAAGTATTGGTTGGTGTATGCTCTCTTCACAAATACTGAAGCATTTTTTTCTTGGAAAGCTCTATGTCAAATGTATGTCCCATAACGAAAGACCATGTGTATCAAGAATAGTAAATATTGGATGAAACACACAATCTCAAGGAACGGTAAAATGTTTTTTTCTTTCCTATTTCTAGTTCCTGTACCTGAACCTAGCACACTATAGTACATATGTTTCTCTGAATGTAAACAGATGAATGTAAATGGGACAAGTGTCTGGTAATCACTTTGACAGGAAGATAGATCTGCACTGCTGCATCGTGTCGTCGGGGTTGGTAACTGCACATGTAAATGATTTGTCAGCATCAAAGCCAGATAAACCATGTGTTGAACTCAGCGAATAAACTGAATCAGGCAACAGCTTTAAAATTGCAGTCAAGTGGAGTAACCACATAATTGTTTTGCAACTAAATAACAATGGGAGCTGTGCAATGTTTCTGAAGGAGTATCGAATGCCTTATGGTTACTCAGTTCAGTACTCCATAAGCCTGAGGTACACTCTTCAAGGACTACAGCTGTGATGGTGAAAAGGTATTTTTTGGCAGCTTTTAACATGACTTAAAAAAGGTGTTACTCCGATGATTAGCTATGATGGTGAGAAGGTAGTTTCTGGCAGCCACTACAGCTTGATCACCAACAATTCAGAGAAGTTGGATGTTAATGATACTGCCCTCTGGCTTGAGCACAATACCAAATATGAAATCAGTTAGCAACTAATAATTTCGTTCTTTCATATTTGGCATTTACAGATGTACAAAGATGCTCTCTATGTCTCTCCTGTTCATTAACGAGCCATTCGAGAAATCTCATGTTAATCCATGGCCTTTCTTGTCCTGCAAAATTACCTCATCCAGGGATGTCCTCAACTTAAATATATATATAAAAAACTCCTTGATTTCACAAGCATAGAACAACTTTTAACATACAACCAGCATACCTGTATGACCAACTGTTCTGTCAGATTCAAATATCTCATGATCATTGCCACCCTATTAAATAGAATGGAAGGAAAAAGGAAGCACTAGTCAGACAAAATGCTACAGAGACAGACACGGTACAGTTAAGTTTGTAGTAATTAAATGGAATGTCGTTAACAGTGGCTTGAAAAGTTTGCTGAACACCTTGTGTGCACAAAGGTACTTCACTTCACAAAAGACAATGATATTTCTTACCTTGGGAGCACTGCACAACTAAAATATACATCTCTCACCTTGTAAGTTTTGTCCCCAAAAAAATGAATTTCTTTGAATTCTTCGAGATATCTCAAGCAGTAGGTTTTGTCCCAGCCTTTTGGGAATACCTGAATTCAGTGATGCACTGCTAAATACCAAACTGGATATTTATAGCGGATATGTCTTGGTTTACAGTACTTACATCAAAACTAATCTGCCCTCCAATGGAAAATGTGAGGTTCAAGTGGCTAAACTTGTCACGAAGTACTGAGACCATTTGAGGCCGAACGTTATGTACCTAAAGAAATTGAATAGGTTCAGTTCCTGTTCTTGTAATGGTACCTTTCCCCTTTCTGATTAGAAGTAAATTACTTGTGTTTTACAAGACGGTCTGCACCTTATCATACTTCTCAAAATCATCACGCTCCTCTTGACTACAGTTCCTCCCTATAGGCGACACATTGATCATTCCATTCCTGAACTCTATGAATGTACCCCTGGGAAACGTTAACATGGTCAGTAAAGAGGTAGCAGCGGCGGGAAATTTTTGAACAGAATTCGGTGCTGACCTTTTAATCGGGATATCCAAGTCCGCGATGTAATGAAGAGTGAAGTTAATGAATTCCTGCAAGGAAAGAACACATACCATCACTATCAAGGCCTCGGAAGTCGAAACTCATCTGCAACCCCACACGACATATATAGGCTCACCTTAATCTGGTCATCTCCAAGATACGTTTTCAGGCTCTGCAGCACCAGGAAAAATTCAGAGGTGGATCTTTATGCAACTTACTAAGTTCATGCTAAAACAGTGTACATGTACAATGTGGACTGTGGTGAAGACTTACTTGCGTCCCGATAAGCTCGCCATTTCTGTACGCAACCAGACCGTTCTCGGAGAAGACGTAGTCGTAATCGGTGATGACTGCAGAGGAGAGAACGAACATCAGAGATTCAGACCCAATTGGTTACGGTTTCAGACAAGGTGAGCAAACAGTGCCTCGCGAAGAACTCTGAATCCTAGCAGACCGTCCTGCTGAATCCAGGCAGGCTGGGTACCTGATTTGCCGAGCTGCTCGGAGATCTTGACCAGATCGGATCCCCCCACCAGGCCCACGCTCACAATCTGCTCCCGGGAAGAAAACCAGAGTGCCACAACCAGGCATACAGCAAGTGGGAAATTAGATCTTAACCCACACGAGAATCCCACGGAACGAGAAACTGGAACGAGAGCGGGAGGGCCTCGGGCCTCACCTCGCGCAGCCGCTTCATGAACTCGCGCATCTCCGGCGACACCTCTTTGCGGGGCGCGGTGATGGTGTCGTCGACGTCGAAGAGCGCGAGCACCTCGGCGTTCTTCCTCGCCGCCGCCATCCTGCTCGTCCTCCCGCCGCCGCTGCAGCTGCTACGAGTAAGAAGGGACGGGGCGCGCCTCCTCGCGGCGGCCGCGTGATATAGCGCCGCCGGCGAAAGGAGGTAGAGGGGGATCGATGCTTGGGGCGGACAAAAGTCAATACGCGCGAACGTGGTGCTTTTCGCACAATATAAATGCAGAATGACTAATTCACATCTAGATGTTTTTTTTAAGATGTCACATCTAAGTAGTTCATCACATAATAAGGGGTTTCAAGATTTATAAAAAGTGTTTTTTTAATTATTTTTTTACTGATGTTGTGTGATGTCATGCTTAATTAGATGTGACATACGATTTGTCCGCCCCAATATAAATGTTATTTTCTGAAATTTTGTTAACTTTCAAATCGCGTATCCAATTGTACGATTTGTCTGTCATGGTTTGATTTTAGCAGGACCAGAGTTTCAACACTAACACCCTGTTCGGAATCGCGCCGCTCCACAGCTCCACTCCCGGAGCGGGCGGAACTGCAGTAGAAAATCACGAAGCTGCAGTATCCTCGCTCCGCAGATTCCAGAAGTGTGTGGGTTGCCGAACAGGGCCTAAATCCCGTAAGTGTCTGTTAGGATGGAAAAATCATCTTAAAAGTTGCAGCTGAGTGAATAATCAAGTTGCCACAATATTGGTACTCCTTTTGATGTCGATACAACTACAACTTTTGACATGCTTACAATGGCACGTTCATTATCGTGGAACTACAACTTTATGGTACATACAAAAGAGGTTTTGTCAAAACAAACCTCAACTATACGAAGACATCAGTGCATAGTACATTTTAACCAGATAGACATTGCTGTGAGAAGATCTCCCGCCCAGAGACTAATGAGCGCAAACATTTCCTCCATATGCTTTCTGAAGTTGAAATTCATCGACCATGCTCTCCCTTCCTTAACTTTTTTTCTTCTTAGCGGCAACAAAGAAAGCACATCCATGAATTATGTTCGTCTCCTCTCACAATTTTCCTTCAATAGCTTTGCAATTTTCCTAGAAAAGATTCGCTGGCGGCACTAAATATTCTTGGGCATGGTTTCAGTGATCGAGCACACCACTGATTATCCATTTGGCCACGCAGTAGATCCATGTATAGTCATCACTTCCACTGTCAAGGTGTGGACTACACAAGACTGTGCATATAGCTATTGGAGACGGTCGCTTGGATTTTGTTCAACCGGTTTGGTTAACTATGTAGTCAGCCCAGTAATATAGTATATTGCTATATCTCGGCTTGGTGGATTAAAAAAAGTAAACATCCTCCCCCGCCTATGGATTAGAGAAGAAATAGTGATCCAGGTTTCTCCCCTACCATCATCCTCCTCCGTCGATAGATAGCTGACCTCTTCCTCCTCCGGTGAGGGTGTGTAGCAAGGCTCCAATCTACAGGTGGGAGCCATAGTTCCCCTCTCTTGGGACATTATGTAGGTTGCCCATCGGCGGTAGCGAGATGAGGGTGTCATCATCGGTGTGGAATTAGGTCTCCGCACCTCACCCACATTCCAATGATGCTTTTTCGTATGGAATATGGTGTATCCTTATATCTGGTTTCGTCGGTTCTAGCATTTTCTTCTACAGGTTTGTGGCGGTCGCACAAATCTTGTGGAGCGGACAACGTGTGGATCTACATCTTGGTCCTCCGGCTCAAGTTTCGAGCGATGACGGTTGGCCAGACTCGGTCTCATCGGTGAGCGTGCCAGGTTTGTGTTCTCCGCCTCCTTTTGGCTGGAAATAGGGCATTCTACACACCTTCTCCATTTTCTTCACCAGGGCGGCGATTAGTTGTGCATATCATGGTCACATGCGTCTCCTAGTCTGCATCGACGACTTCATGGCGGCTGCTTTTACTGGCCAACCTGATAGGGTAAGTAACCTTGACCTTTACTGGCCATCGTATTGGAAGTATGTATGTGAATCTGTCCTGCTGACCATAATGGTGTACTAGTGTGTAGTGTCTGCTCCAATAGTCGAAACCATGATGCTAAGTGGAAACATGGAACTACTAAGTTCAGGGCATGGTTAATCTAGTTGTGATAGTCTTGGTGTGCGAGCATCAGGACCAAATTAGAATCATTAGGCTTATCTTTGTTCTAAGAGGTTTAACTAAATATATGTGGCACCTGTGATTCTTTCATCATTTGCTACAGAAACTAAATCTGAACCAGCATAGCATGGTCACATGCTGGTCATTTTGTTTTACTATTCTAAAATTGTTTAATCTAAATTCTGTCAGGTGTAAGTTAGTTTATGTTAAGCACGTGTAACTGGGATTTTTTTTTAGAAAAGGAGGATGACCCCCGGCCTCTGCATCTGGGAGATGCATACGGCCACTTTATTGATTATTCTCGAGGACCTTATAAAGTATTACAACAATATGCTTGAATCCGCCATCTTGACAACATATGCCACTACTCCTATCCAAAAGATGCAGGGGTGCTACCTGGGCCACATACCCAGACTACTCACCTAATCCTATCATCCAAAGCCAGAAGCCCCATCCGAGCCACATACTAGGTCTGGGGCATAAACTGGTCTGACGCACTCACATGTGTCGTCGCCGACATCTTCCACATGTCCGTCTTCAGAGCAGATATTGAGGCTTCTACCTTGTGAGGTCACTCCGTCATCGACGCCACCTTGACGCCAGACAACTACCTCCACCTGCGCGAGTCCATCACCGCGCATCGGGCGCCGAGTCTCCACCGCACCACGCCGCCGAGATCCGCCGTCATCAATGTGAAGGATGAAGCACCGCTCCACCAAAAAGGCGCCCGCTGGTCCCTCGATCCCGTGTACGCCTCCAAGAATGACGCCCCCAAGGAGGAAACGACACCAACGCGCCGCCGTCATCCGATCAACTGATCTAGGGTTTCCCCCGGAGGTAGCGGATAGAGGTCTAGAGCTTCTCCACGGCGATGTCTTCAAGAAGGTAATGACACAACAGGGTGTCACCAACGCCGGCCATGGCATGAAGCCGAGCACAAGGTTTTCACCCGGATCCGCTCGAAGAACCTCCATCACGTAATGTGTGCACGGGTCGCCGCCGATCTAAGCCGCCGCACAACGAGCAGGCCTCACCGGCCAGATCAGATCTGTCCGGAGGGCACAACCCGCATGGTGCCGACCCAACCACCAGGCCCTCCATGCCGCCACCGCCGATCCGAGGTCAGGTGGTGTGTCGCCGCAGACCTGGCCGCCGCCGC